GAAGTTTCCAGCCTCACAGACTAAAGAGCCTAATTCACATCACTCCTTTGGAAGAAGTCAAACTCTTCAATTTGTTACATGAATTAAGATACACGGGTTGGCTTTTCCTCTCATCCAAGGAAAGGATGGTCTGTTTGACAGAGCAGTAAAGAGGAAAAACCCAGGAGTGAACACAAATAATCTCACCCCACAAAGTGAAACATGGGTACTTGTGCAGGGCTGTGGCCTATGGTAAAAGGTGCATACTCTGGTAATAGTGTTTCATTTCACTAAGCAGCAACATGAAACGCACTAGGATTAATGGATTGGCTTTCCCCCCGTTGAATAAAACATGCGCAGATGCCACTAAGAGATCGTTAACTCTTGTACTCTACCTTCTATTTTCAATCTCGCTGCCAGTTCTTTCCACTGAGCAAGCTTTCCCAGGGGCTCTGGGACAGCCCTTGCCAGAAACTCCATGTTGGCCTCTGGATATTGAAGGATGTCATAGGCACTGTGGAGTAAAGCAGTGAGTTTTTATGTTAGGAAGGAGCCACTTGGGTAAGGCAGATTTATAGCTGTTCCCAGCTCAAACTTGTAAAGATCTCAGCATATGCCAGGACAACTGCAGAGCCAAGCTCACCTCCCTACTATCTTCTCTCAGTACACAGAAGAGCTGTTAAACTCTTGAAAAGGGACCCTTTATGAAACATGAACAGCAAGATAGAAGGGACAAGGGTAAGGGCATCAAGAGGAACCTTTCACAGAGACTGAGTCAGCCAGGTCTTCCTCACTGATTTAAAACAGCAGTAAAGATAAGGTGAGATAAAGAATGGGTAAGGGAAGCAAGGGCCTTTGTGTACAAGAACAGCTACCATCTGACACTAGCCTGAAATCAATCCCTGCTTTATCAAGCTTTCAGCAAAGCAGCAACCCACTAAAAAACTGTCACCACTTGGTGACACACTTAACAAGGACAACAAAAACTGGCTGGGCTAGTGGAGTATGCGCTTGCTTTGAGAGACTATGTTAGCACCAGGCAATGTGGCATAGAAAAAACATCAACATCGCATTTATTCCACAGGCAAACATCAGATGTCTGTCCCCCAAAGGTGATAAAGCTGGCATCTTGGGAGTACTGACAGCTTGAGGAAGGACGGACAAATGGTCTGAAACCACTAGCCAGATGTGCTAAAGAAAGTGTAGGTCAGACCTGAAAGCTTCAGCTGTAACCTCTACCTGACAGGCGATCTTCGACTGCTACTGATGGGAACTTCTGGTATTAACTGGGACCATTTGGATATGCTGAACTGAAGGGATTTTAGTGTTGCAATTCCATCCTCTAAAGCAGCTTTCATCTTAATTGCTTGTTCATATCGCTGCTGTGACACACATCCAGCTTCTTCAAAGCCTGCAGAGACAGATGGTGTATGAGAACAAAGGTATACAAACCTGGCAGGGCTGCTGACTGCAAGAGCCACCATAATAAAATACCTCTGTGGGTGAGCCTGGCATCGGCATTGTCAGGCCGGAGGGACATGCGGAACTCCACGCGACTGGTGAACATCCGGTATGGCTCGCTGGTGCCCAGAGTGGTAAGGTCATCGATCAGGACACCAATGTAGCCTTCAGTGCGACTGACAATGAAAGGGGGCTTGCCATGAACCCGCAGGCAAGCATTGATACCAGCAATCACACCCTAGGCAGATATAAAACAAAACCAAACCCATTTATCCTGTGGCTAAGACATCAGCACACCCATCTCCAAAGACTCATGCATCAAACTGTACCTTGGAAAAATGCAACAGCCTGTGCTAGGGATCTAGGCAGTTTCTTTCTTGCCATACTACAAATGTCTGAAGGGCTTCCTCCCCCTGCTGACGTGACTACAGACAATTCCCACATGTTTTCAATTATACCCATCACAGAGTCTCCATGTTGAAACATTTGGCAGTGCTTCCAATTACTTTTGTTACTGCAATCTCAGTAACAGCAACTGTAGATACTAAAACTAAAAATACCTGGGCAAGTCTGGAATTGAGGTGAGCAGCAAAAGTAAGGATAGCTCAATGGCACGAGATGGGCCTAACAAGACTGCAAAGACAACCGCCAAGGCAATACCACTTTCTGAGTAGTGAGAGTACATGATCAGATTCACCCACCTGAGCGGCAGCTTCTTCATAACCTGTAGTGCCATTTATCTGGCCTGCAAAGAAGAGGCGCTGAACAAGACGAGACTCAAGAGAAGCAGTCAGTTGACGGGGATCTAAAAAATCATACTGCACACCATAGCCTACAACAAACAAGACAGATCTCATGGGAGGGATTTTGAAGGTCCCTATTCATCAGCAAAGGCAATCAATGAGTTAGAATGATTTAGGTTATCAACTTTCATTTACAATTTAAAAGCAACTAAGGAAAAATCCCTGCATCCAAGAATTAATTATATTTCATATATTTCCTTTGTTTTGTTAGCTCTAAACAAAATCTCGTTTTTATTAACTGCTAAGTACTATGACAAATAGATTTAAAACTATTCATCCCCCTCACCTGGCTGTAGTATCTTGGCTTTTTCCAAGCCTGGGACAGATTTGATCACCTGCTCCTGGAGCTCAGGTGGCAGAGTCATCGACATGCCTTGGGGGTAAATGACATTGGACTCCAAGCCCTCGGGCTCCAGCCACACCTGATGTTTTCGGTTTGGGAAGCGCAGAACCTTTGATTCAAGAGAGGGACAGTACCTGCAACAGTAGACAGCCATGAGCACCACCTGACACGGAGAAAAAGTAACTTTCCAGAAGCAAAGCAGGAGACACCTGCAGTTTCAGACAGATTGTGAGCTCTTGTCAGTGACAGCCTTGCGTGATGCCACATACTTACCGTGGGCCTCTTGTTGTCTCCCTTATATGGTTATTCAGGTGGATGTTATCATGGATAATTCGCTGGGCTTTCAGGGTAGTGTGAGTCAGGTAACATGACAGCTGATCTTCTGGCTGAAAGAGGCCAAAGCTCACTTTAAATTAATTCAGTCACAATACTGTACTCTTACTGAACAACTCTGAGGATCTCCAAGGGCTTTTCCAAGACAGTTGGCTCCCCATCACTCTAGGAAATAATAGTGCTGTCATACCCACTGTAAAGACAGAACATGAGTGATCAGAGAGCTTGAGCAACATGTCCAGAAGCAGACCAAGAACAGAACTCAGGAGTCCAGAATTCAAGTTCTATTCCATACACCATATTCCTAATTACAGGATGGATATTGCTATTAAAGCAACACATTACATCACAACATTCATACATTCATACAACTATAGGAATTCAAAGCTCTGAAGTAAGAAGAGTAAGTGCTGACCCTACAGCTAACAGCCAATTAAAGAGTCTAGTGAAGAAAAAAACCCAAAGAAATCTCTCAATACCCTGCAATTAACATAGAAAATTCAAGGTTTGGAAAAAACCCCACCATGTGAAGTATATACTGAGTTTTCTGGAAAAAAGTCAATAGACTCACATTCAAAGTAGTAGTAATGTTGCACCTCAACTCATTAAAATCTTTCCTACACATACAAAGAACTTAAGTGATACTACTTTTGCCCCCACCCCATACAGGTTATTGCAACTCCCATATGTTCTGGGGCAAATGAACTGTCTTTAAGTTACTGTGAACATGCCACCTCTGACCTCTGTGGGTAACCCCATCCTTTCTCCTTCCTAGTCAACAATACAATTAATGATCTCTAATTTCAACATTTTAATCTTATTCTAGAGTTGGAGTAACAAGCAAGACATAATAAATCTCTGTGATATAGGTCTAATACTGGAAGTATTTTGTAAACCACATATGTAACCAGCACATGAAGAATACTAACAATATCATATTTCATGCAATTCTGACTCTAAAAGAATGCTGTTCTCAAGGTGAGAAGTGAGACAGTACTGGCTTTCAAAAGAAGACAAGCAATTTCTCCCCTTGCATTGAGAGTCCTCAGAAACATAACATCTCCAGTATGAATACAGCCCAGCTCCCTTCCCCTGGCTGATTCCAAACATGACATTCCCAGAACCACTCCCCACCACCCCACCTGGCACTATGTGCATTTGATGTGTGTTATCCCACCTTGATCCAGACAGCCTCGCTAAGGAAGCTGAATGGCACTGGAGGATTGTCAGCTGCACGTTCCTCCAGACCACTGAAATCAATCGTATCTTTGGCAAGTCGGGGTGGCGTCCCAGTCTTCAGCCTGCCCACAGCAAATCCCAGTTTCTCCAGAGTCTGAGCCAGGCCGATGGCTGGCTGGTCCCCTAGCCGCCCAGCAGGGTGCATCTCCAGTCCAATGAAGATCATACCCCTCAGAAACGTACCGGTGGTCAGGATAACGCTCCCAGCATGTACTGTGCTCCCATTCCCTGAAACAGCAAGTTTTCAGAGATGAACATATGTTTTAGTTACACTTGGCCTAAATCAATTCTACCGGCCAATTCAGCTCCCTCACTGATGAATCAGAAACGTTTATCCCAAAGGCTGCTCTTAGTGTAGAGTAACTGCAGGTGCCTACTGAGTTACTAGCACATACCCAACACGACTCCTGTGACTTGGCATTTTCCAGGATGGTCTGGTTCTGGCTCTGTCAACAGAAGATCCTCCACAGATGCCTCATGAACTGTCAACAGTGGTGTGTTAAGGATTTCCTTCTGTCATGAAAGGAGTTACTGCAAACATCTAGAAAGTTATGAGACATGGGCAGTCCCAAACCTTGCGGATTTCCAAAACATCTACCATCCTTTTCCTCTTTCCATTCTTACCAGGTCACTCAATTGCTGTACTCTCCATCTACCAAGTACAACTTTTCATTCACAGGTAGAGTTTAAGCTCAGAGGAAACTATGTGGTCACAAAGCCAGACATATATAAAATGCTAAAGTTTTTAAGCTATGCTGAGCTCCAACAATATACACTTCACTAAAGTACCAAACAGAAAGCTGTCTAAGTTTGATAGGAAAATATTAAAATACAAAGCAACACCCTCATCATGCTCTGTAGTTTATAGTAATACTTAAGATAGCTATCATTTTTACCAGTCTGTATGTACAGACGTCCCTACGGATGGTTAACGTGTCCGCACAGATGGCGAGCTCTCGGGAGCGCCGCCGGCTCTGTAACCCCTCCGCCCCAGCACCAGGGGCGGGCCGCCCACCCAGCGCACGGAGAGCTCAGGCCGAGTTCTCGCAGACGCCGTCCTATCTCCGCACAAGGGCAAGCTTAACTTGTAAAGGTCGCTCGCTGCGAGAGGGAAGAGGGGCGCTCGGCCTGCCCCGCCGCCCGCGCTCACCTGCATGTGCTCCTTGTAGCGGCCCCGGTCGATCTGGGCGCGGAGCCCCCACACCGCCGGGCCCTTGCAGCGGTTCAGCACTTTGTAGTGCAGGCCGGAGCGGTCGCAGATCCGGCCGCACAGCCCGTCCAGCGCGTCCACCTCTCTCATGAGATGCCCCTTCCCGATGCCACCGAAGGAGGGGTTGCAGGACATCTCCCCTGGGGGGGACACACGGGCTGCCCTCACCACCGCCGCCCCGAGACCCCGCAACCGCCGCGGCTCAGCGCCGCTCCCCGGACCGGGGAGGCCGGAGGCGCCTGCGGGAAACGGGCCGGGCCCCGCCGGCTCCCCGCGATACCTTCC